TTTGTCGGGGTTTCCAAGTCAGGGTTCTAATTTGCCAAGAGGATGTGTTACATAAATAATATTAATATTTCCTTTTCAGAATACGCCAGAAAAAATCATAAACTCACCCAAATAAAACTCAAGTTTTTATTCACCCCGGTGAACACTCCTCCCTAAGGGGAAAAAAAACAAAACCAGTTGCTGTTACAAAAGCGAACTCTTACGTGCAAGTACTTCCTTTCCCCTTATCCACGTAAACCACCTCCCGGTGCTTTTCGAGTCTGCGATCAAGCCACACTTACGTGTGCTGGTGCACAGGTTTCCCCCCCTCGCCCCCAGCCGCGGAGCCGGCTCCAGACGCGACAGCAGCACACGCGGGCTGCACTGGTGGGGTCTGGGGACCACCGACAAAGAACAGGGGGCACTCAAGCAGCCACGGCGATGAAATAAAGAGCAGACTCAACTTTTCCTAATTCCTCTCCTCGGTGACTCACGATCTCTGGCTGGAAGGAATGTAGGCGGCGCCAGCGAGCAGCCTCACCGTGCCACACGGGCATCCACTTCCCCCGTCATTGTTACTACCAGCCACACATCTGCCTGCGCAAGGACAGGGCGCCCTTGACGCCCGGCGTCCATATCGGGGCTCAGGGGGGGGCTCAGGGGATCCAGGGGCTCAGCCCCCGCCCCCTCACGCCGGCGCCGCTCCTGCAGACGCCTGCCGCCACCCCACTGCCCCCGCCGCTTCAGCCCTTCCCCAGCGCCCCCGGTGGCCGCGGCACCAGGCATGAGTTTGCATATCCGACCAGGCCTTCCCCCGACCGCCCTCCCCCCCCAGCCGCCCGCCTTCCGCCCCCCCCACCATGACCCCCGCCCCGCGCGCCCCGCGCCCCCGCCGCGCGGGGCATATCGCTTCGCCTCGGGAGGGACAGGTTAGACGCGCGCCGCCTGGCGGACCCCGCGCGGCACCGACGGCCTTTGAAGGTACCGCCTCCTCGGCCACCCGCGAAAACAAATGGGCGCCGCCGAAATGACAGACAGCGCCTCCCCCACCCGGCCTCGGCTCCCCACCCGCGCCCCTCCGCCCCCTGCCCCGGGCAGTGTGGGTCCGACGCAGGCCTCCCGGACATTTGACATTGCCAGCGGGGACAGGCGGCGGCGGCGGGGCGGCGGCCGCGGCGCCTGAGCCGGCGTGATTGATCAAGGACAGGCGGCGGGCGGCGGCGGCAGCCGGGCGGTTAATTGACCCAGCTTACCTGGGTGCCAATCTTCGTCACACTGACAAGCGGCTGCAGCAATCCGGGACCTGGCGCCACGTCAGCCGTGCACGCCGACATGGGCCATTGCAGCCTCGCTCAATGGGAGGAGGGCGACGCCGACGCGCGCCCATCAATATTCAGGGGGGGCGGGCCTGCTGCACCAGGCCGCCCGCCCCAGCGCAGCGACGGCGCGGGCAGACACCACCCCACCGGGGGCGAAGCGGAGCCCGGGCGGGCGGCAGCCCGGCACCACCTGCCTCTGCGCGCCGCGCCGAACCCCGCCCACAGCGGGGCGCGCCGGCAGCGAGCAACCGCCGCCCGCCGCGCGGGCCAGAGCGCCACGCCTCGACTGACAATCGAGGGGGCGTGGCGCACAGCGGCGCGCGCGGCCGCCACCCCCTCCGCCAGCCGTCGGGAGGGGCGAGGGAAGTGTGGGCGGGCTGGGTGGGCGGAACCATCCGCCACCGTGGAGGGAGCGGGCCGAACCATCATGGGAGGAGGCGGAGCCGCTCCGGGCGCGACCTTCGCGGCAGGTGGGCCCCGCCGAGCACCTGCGCGCGCCCCTTTGTGCGGTGCCGGGTGGACGCAGGCGCGGGCGCTGCCCGGACGGGCTGCTTCTCCCGTTCCGCCTTGGGTCCCACCCCTGTTGCCCCCCCGCCGCCCCTGGCGACCCGCGCAGGCCGGGTGCAGTGGCCTCCCTTGGGGGGGACACGAGAAGTTGTGTGTGTTGGGGGTGGGCTTTCGAGAGATCGGGTGCGGGAGGCTGAACCCCGCAGGCGGAAGGGCAGCACCTGCCGCGTGCAGGCCGGGGGTTCATTGTTGCGGAAACAGTCCCGGCGAGCGAGGCGCCGTGCCACCCCAGACCCGGCTCGGAACGGGGCCGCGCACCGGCGCCCCGCGCTGCCCAGGGAATTTTTTGCCTCCAGCCAGGCTGCGAACGATGTGGCTTCGGCGCCTGTTGAGCCCGCTGCTGGCGCGCGGCCCAGACTAATGCCGTAGCTCAGGCAGGTTCCGCGTTTTACAGAAGTTTGTGGCCGGGCCCGCGCGGGCGGCCGGCGAGGACCAGACCAGCTAGGCAGTGTGCGGGGCCCAATGCCAAACGGAAACACCAGGGTCCCTCGCCCAGCAGTCACCGAGGACTTGAGGACAGGGCAGAACTTCACACCACGTGGGCCGGCTGGGCGCAGGCCTGTGCGGCTGGCCAGTCCCCTCCCAAACCACCAGTGCCCCTGGCCTCTCCTTCCCCCTCCCTCCGTCCTGAGATTCCCAGACCCCGGTCAGTCGAAACTGTGTTCTCCTCTCGTAGTTTTGTTTTTAGTTACCCTGGGTTTATTTAAACCCAGAAGGAAGGTCATATGTTTTCATGCCCTGCATTTGGTTCTTTAAATAACAATCGTGACAAAAAAAAGAAGAGAGGAATCATGAGCTGCGCTTGTAGTCCCTACAAAACAGCAACATTTTAGTTGTATGTATCGTAAAGAGCACCTTACCAAACACTGCAAATGCCAGCCAATGCCTGGGGCATGCCTTGGGTGGGCCCCTGAAAAGAAATACCACACTGGAATACCCAATTTCTTCTGAAGCCACTGAACAGAAAACGACATTGAACTTTCCCCGGATCTGACACAACACCAAGTACAGTATCTTGGCTAATCCAGGCTTTGATGAGGATTAAGAATGTCCCCCACCCCGAGTTTACCTGGGGTGACCTTTTTAATTTTAATTTAAAAGGTTGCAGTGCCTGGTTCTAGAGTTGTGCTGCCCGGCTTCAGCCTGGAGCCTCTGCGATTCTGTCTTTCTCTCTCTCTGCCTCCCCCCACTCATGCCTCTGTCTCTCTCAAAAAAAAAAAAAAAATGTAGGCAGTTTGACACTTTTATCTGATGTCACCGCGTTGAGTATTTCTTGGGGAGGGTCTCGGAATCCTGTTCTGTCACTGACGATACAGCACGGGCTGTTCCAGCTGGCCAGAAGTGCTGTGTGCTTCCCTCGGTCGGACATTGGTCTCCAATTCCCAGCCTGTTCTTACAGCGATATTGTGGACCTCGTGGCACCTCGTGTCAGGCACGTGGGTTAAAAGCAACCGACTCTTCGCTTCAGCCCAGGTCGCAGTCTCCCGGTTCTGTTGGGTTTGAGGCCACATTGGGCTCCAGCGGCGATAGCTGGAGAGCCTGCCTGGGATCACCCTCCCTCCGTCCCCGCCCCTCCCATGCAGCTGTCTGTCTCAAAACAAATAATGAAAAAAGAGTGACCTCAGTCCCCTGCATTTGAAAATGAAATCCAACTCCCATTTTCAAGCACTTGTCTAATGTTTCCCACAGGCTGAATAAGATCTAAAATGCCAAGTTAAAACTTTCTGATCTACAGAAAATACAGTGTTACATAATGTCACCTGTAAATCCCGTTCGCTGTCAGATCCTCCAACTGACGGCGTAGGCCGGAGGACTTGGAAGCCGCGCCCCTGGTTGGTGAGTGAGAGTCACCTTGATCGTGGCGGAGGAGAGCGGGTGTGGTGGCTCAGCCAGGGGCCAAGGGGAAGGCGACCTTTCTCCCTACCCCACCCCTGGCAGACAAGCTGGGGTCCCGGGACCTGAGAGGAGGGAGGCTGGGTGTGTGAGGTCGCGTGAGAGCCATACACCGATCTGGCGTCCCACCGAGGCCCAGGCAGGCCACACCACCATCTGGCCTCTGTGCCAGCCTTTTCACCTGTACCCCCTTGATCTGCTGGCTTCGTGTCTGCAGCGCTATCTCCAGGGAAAATAGAGCTGTGGCCTTGTGGTTCACACATTTGGGAATGGAGAGGACTCTTCAGGCAGGAATAAATCAGGCCTACCTGGGGGCTCTGGGGGACAAGACTTCCTTCCTTCCCTTATATCACCCACATTTCCACCCTAATGTTGAGGGGCCAGGTGGTTTCCAAGCAATTTGACATTAGCAGGTAGCTGACCATTCGGCTATTTTTCCATTTTTTTTCTTTTAAGTTTTAATTTATTGTTTATTTTTTGAGAAAGACCGAGGAGTGCTCTTGGGAGAGGGGCAGAGGGGGGAGAGGAGAATCTCAAGCAGGTTCCGTTCTCAGTAGAGCCCAATGTGGAGATACGTTTCAGAAACCAGAGATGGTGACCTGAGCCAAGCAAGAGTTGAAAGCTTAACCGACTAGACTGCCCAGGAGCCCTCAACTTTTTTTTCTTTTTTTTTTTTCTTAATGTTTATTTATTTTTAGGAGAGAGGGAACTGCAGTGGGGAGGAGAGAGAGAGGGAGCACAGAATCGAAGGAGGCTCCAGGCTCCAAGCTGTCAGCACAGAGAGCCCGGCCATGGGGCTCGGGAACTCACAGACCTTGAGATCATGACCTGACAAACATGAAGAGTTGGAATCTTCAGGAACTGAGCCACCAGATTGCCCCTCCATTTTCTACAAGGTTTGTTACCATTATTCAGTAACAGTAACAGATATTAGTAACAAATACTTGGTACTATTACCAGGAGACCATGTTTAGCGTGTGAAATGAAAAAGCCTGTAATTGCTTTCGTGGAAGTAGTCAGTGACTGGAAGCGCCCTGGGTGGCTCAGTGGGTAGAAAGCGTCCGACTGGAATTTTAGCTCAGATCCGACCTCGCAGCCTCGGGGTCGGGGCCCCTTCCCGACTCACACCCGGCTGGATATTGAGACTGCTTAAGATTCCCCTCCCTCTCCCTCGGCACCTCCCTCTCCCCCTGCTCTCCAAGAAGAAGCCGAGAGCCTGCAGGTGACAGCAGGTGCCGTCAGAGGCGGTGGTGAAACAGGGCAGGTAAGAGGGGTGGTCAGAAGTGGAGCAGTGCTTTAGAAAAGAAAGCCACCGCAGGAGAGGCAAAAGAACCATGCCAGGTGCCGGCCAGCCTGCGGCGGCGGTGTCCAGGCACCAGTGAGGACACTGGGAGAGGCAAGACTTCGGGCCCTGCCCGAGTCAGAACCCGTGGTCGGTGTGCAAAAGTAACAACGCTCTGAGGGGCACAGAAGAGTCTTATGCGTCGCATGAGGGAAGGAGTTTGAGGACTGGGGGGGGGGGGGGGGAGCAGGCTTAGGCTGTCCTGCGGGCTTGGGATCTGGAGACAATGGTAGGACACACGAGCTCCAAAGCCACTCAGAAACAGGCAGAATCTCTTGGCCTTAAAAGGCGGCCAGTAGAGCTGTCTGAGCTGCCCTGGGTTACGCATGAGGGGCAGGGGAGGTCACCAGCGATGATGGGATAAAGCCCATGTGTGACCTTTATAAATCAGAAACTGGCAGCGCCTGGGGGCCAATCGATTCAGCGTCCGCCTGGTTTTAGCTCAGATGCGTGATCTCACAGTAGGTGAGGATTGAGCCCAGCGATGAAACCATGCTGAGTTTGGGAGCTTTCTTGAAGTTCCTTCTCTCTCTGAAGCAGGCTCCAGGCTCTGAGCCGTCAGCAAAGAGCCCGACGCAGGGCTTGAACCCTGTGAGATCATGACCTGAGCTGTAGTCGGACACTTAACAGACTGAGCCACCCAGACGCCCCAGGGCCGCTTTCTAAATTAGGTTCATAGTCAAGGGGCATCGTCTGATGTCATTTTTGCAAAAATCTGCTTCTCGTTGAAATTACAAAACAAATAACACAAAAGCCTTCGTGGGGCCTGCAAAATGGAACCAAAAAGCAGAAAGGAGCTTCTCTTTGTTGTTTGTTATGAAGACTGATCCAACGTAGACATTTCTCGAAGGCCTCTGGCTTCTTCACTCAAGTTTCCTCCGAGTTCTAGCACGGGACAGGACAGCCTTCTTTAAAAAAATTTTTTTCTTTCAATGTTTATTTTTGAGACAGAGCATGAGCAGGGGAGGGGCAGAGAGAGAGGGAGACACAGAATCCGAAGCAGGTTCCAGGCTCGGAGCTGTCAGCACAGAGCCCAACGCGGGGCTCGAACTCACAGACTGCGAGATCGTGACCTGAGCTGAAATCGGACGCTTAACTGACTGAGCCACCCAGGCGCCCCAAATGTTCATTTATTTTTGAGTGCTAGACAGAGCATGAGCAGGGGAGGGTCAGAGAGAGAGGGAGATACAGGATCCGAAGCAGGCTCCAGGTT